AAGTTATAATAAATGGGACAATGAAATAAATTGAGGAAAATTGAAAACAAAGAAGAAAAATTATTGGTATATTAACTTTCTCAATTTTAGAGTGCAGGCGTTTATTCATTTAAAAATATTTTAGTATTTCTCCGGTAAGCTTTTTATTCCTCTCATAGTTCAAAATGTGTCTTTTTTCAAAGATAGATACAGCTCAAAGCGCGCGTTTGCGAAAATGGACTCAGCTTAAAAGGCGTGTTTACGAAAATGGACACAGCTTAAAAGGCGTGTTTACGAAAATGGACACAGCGTTTACGAAAATGGACACAGCTTAAAATGCATGTTTACGAAAATGGATTCAGCTTAAAATGCGTGTTTACGAAAACGAACACAGCTTAAAATGCGTGTTTACGAAAATGGACACAGCTTAAAATGCATGTTTACGAAAATGGACTCAGCTTAAAATGCGTGTTAACGAAAATGAACACAGCTTAAAATGCGTGTTTACGAAAATGGACACTGCTCAAAATGGGTGTTTAAGTAAATGTAGACAGCTCGAAACGCGTATTAACATAAATTGTCATAGCTCACACATGCGTGTTCTAGAAAATGAACATAGCTTTTGATTACGCTTGTTAAACTACTCTTATGAGTATTTAAGGAATAAACGATTGTCTATTTGTATAAATCCTTTGGTACATTTTATTAAAGTAGTCTTTTCAGTTGTTTGTGCAAGGTTGCTAAGGTCCAATAAATTGACAATAGTGGTAGTAAATTCACGTTGTTGTATTTTTATTTTTAAACTTATATTTTGTTTATATTTTTAAAACTCACTTTTCTCTCAGAGTTCTGATTACAAAGATTTCGTTTGAAAAGTTACACTGTGATATACCTAGCCACCCAATTCCAAATTTTGCTGTGTCCATTTTCTTAGGCACGCATTTTTTATTGTGTACAAACACGCATTTCGAGCTGAGACCATTTTCGTAAACACGCATTTTGAGTCGTCCCCTTCTATTGCGTAAAACGCTAATACGTATATGTACACATAGGTCAGAAAACAAATGAAATTTCTTTTCTCGCATTGGCAACAAGGAGCTGGGAAAAAAAACTGAGCTATTAGCTGAACAGAAATGAGAAGTTAAAAGCAGATAGTAAATCTCAACTATTACTTTTCTTTCAATTATTCGTATTAGTTTACGAAAAATAAGTAATAATTAGAGATTGGCTTTAGTTTTTATGATGCTTAGGAATTCACGGCGTTGATAAAGTTGTTTTAATAATAATAAAAGAAAAGAAAAAAAAACAGAACAGATTACTGGCAATCGGTATGCCATATGTATTTATAGGTTCAACCTAAATTTTGTTTCACACCAGGAATAATACCCTTATTTTCACATTCTTTACAATTACGTTTTTTTCTCTTTTATTTTCATTTTCTAACCTTTTTCTTTAATTTTAATACATTTAAGGATAATATGAAGGATATGAAAATCGTATCACTCTCAAGCTAAAAATTTAGAATTGTCTAAGCAGGGAAATATTATGAATTATTTGTCCCAATTTTAATTTTCAAGTAATATTGATATGTATGTATATTAAATCATACTGCATATAAATAGTTTTATAAGATATGTTGCTTATATATTTAGAAAGTAAATTGAAAATTACTAAAAACAAATTCTGCCTTAAACTATTTTGCACCAATCCTACTTTTAAAATGTTTGCATTGTGGGGAAACTATTTATAAATTTTGGTAAACGAACGATTTGTTAAATGTTGCGCATGTATAAGGAAATGTAAAGGGGGAAAAAAAAGAAAAAAACATACAAATAACGATGTATTTTTACCGTTCCGTTTACAAAACTATTTTCTGGATTCAAATTTATGAATGTATATTCAGAAAAATAATATTCTAGTATAATATAATATTCTAGTATAATATAATATTCTAGTATAATATAACATTCTAGTATAATATAATATTCCAGATACAATAAAAAATATACTATATTTGAGTCAGTGAGAAAGAAAAAAGACTTAATGAACCAAACGCTTAATACGTGTGGTCTTTGATAATTTAAAAAATAATTTATATTAATTAAAAAAATAAATAGCCTTTGAAAATTTGTAAGGCATATTCAAAGCTTTACCAAAGGGATCATGGGTAAGAAAAAAATCAAAAGAATTTTATATATTCATGCATAAAATCATTTCACTTCAAATATCAACAATTACTTAAGAATTAAACTCTAACTTAGTAACAATTAAGAATGTTTCAATATTTAAAGAAATGCGAATGATGAAAATGTATGTAATCGGTGTATGGTAGGTTGGCAAAAGCACAGGATCTCCACTTGGTCACTTGAGCACAAAAGGCTGGGCCATGTGTGACCTCTTGATCGTTAAAGTGCCTCGTACATCGTAATAGACAGAGCGAATCGCCCGCAATCACCACATTCGATGACAATTAAGAAGGGGTCCAAGCATCGATGGCGCACGCATGCGCAGAGATTTAATCGAATTAGCCCTGCCTGTTTGATAAAGTCAATTAGAGTCGCCAATTTTCATGGACTTGTGTAAACGTGAATTGAGTTTTTCTAACGCCAGATGTACAAAGGTGGGCGCATTCTTGGAGATAAAGATCGCCAAGTATGCAAACCATGGCTTATCTCTTTTATTAAGTTTACGTATTATGTTGATTATGGGGTATTAAAGGTTACGAATCACTGATATTGAAGGTGAGGGGTTTCGAGAAGGCTAAAGATATAAGGTGTCAGAGGCATTAACCTGTTCAGGGTTCAGGGTTGGACAAGTGTGCTGAACTATAAGCCTTTCAGTTGTTACTGTATTACAGCGGTTAAGTGACATATGAATTTGTCTGACCGGATGTTCAGAAACCAGATTATGAAAGCTCAAAAAGAAGCTTATCAAAAACCACCAGGAGAATATTTTCGTTTAGCTATTTGATGTATGTAGAATTTATCAAATGGGTTAACTTGAGATGTTTGAAAATTCATGGAACGCCAACCACCTGCATATTACTTTTTTTTATATAAAATTAATGTTTAGCCACGATGGCATAGTAGTATAGGCGCTGAATAGTCATTATGGAAGAATGAGATTCTCTTCTTGGTGGCTGAAGCTGAACCAGCTTTAAATATAGAATTACCAGCTTGTTTGGGAAGTGAAAACGACCTGTGCGCTATGATGATCACAACGCCATCATCATGACCGTTGGTCACGAGAGTTGCGAAGCCATAACCTTTATGATTCCCCTGACCTCCAACGGTCTGCCATTGGTTTGTTTGACTCAAATAGAGCATTTTCGCATAAAGATGTGTGGGCCCACCCCCACTAACGAGTTTTGCTTTAATTTCAAATATTAAACACAAGATAAAAGCACAACTGTCAGCCATACTTTTTATTTAAAATTTTTTGCAGAGAAAACAGGAGAGCTATGAAAAATAAAAGGAAAGTTGGATGATGCTGTGAAAATGCTAAATCTCTCTATTCACGTTTTTTAGGCATTATATTTTTTCCGTTAAGTACCGCCATGAAGTACATAAATTTATTTAAACTAAATGAAAGTTCCATCTTGGTCCTTTCATACTCTGAATTAAGTGTAATTGCAGTTAAGGAAAACCAACTTTAAGTGATAAGTCTCAAACTATTTATGTACTAACACGCTCAATAAAGTTCACTTTGATTTATTTATTCTATTTTTTGGCTTTATACAAATCACTGCATTTTTTTTTAATTAGAGAAAAACAATTGTCCATTTCGGTTCAATAATTACAGCAAATTTCGATGTATCAGTTGACATTGCGAATAGGTAAACTGCGGAAAATAAGGCACATTAGTGTAATCAAAAACTGTTAAAATCTACCTTGCCCACTAAATTTTAACAATGTTTGAATACACCAATAAGTCTTATTTGCCGCAGTTAACATCATGCAATAGTCACTTAATTATTGTATGAAGTTCACCATTAAATATTATTGGATACCAAGGATACTTTGTATAAGGTTTTTCTCAACTTTGTGCTTCACTCGTATGGAAGTGAATCCAGGACTTATGTGGAAAAAAAAAAGATCGTTTTTTAATATGGGAATGGGAGATTCTGAAATTCATTTTTGTGCTACTTCAATGATAAAAGAGTATAAGTATGGGGCATTAGAAAGAATTTGGAAATTATGAAAAATCGTAAATACATTGACTAGTGCAACCGGAAATTGAAGTGTGTGTCACATTTAGCTGAAGTGTGCTAACAGAAATGTGAAAAATATCTTCGATTCAAAACCTGGTAGCTCTATTCCATGCAGAAGAGCAAGGGGATGATGGTTGGAAGACTTGAATAAGAGGAAAACTAAGAGCTAGAAGTCTGAGCACCAAAATAGGGAAAAATAGAGGCAAGTTCGAGACCTCAAAAGTCAATGAATAGTAGTAATTTAATACAAATCTACAGTTTTAATCAATTTTTTTATGAAATTTGGAACACTGATAGTTCGAAGCACGAGGGAAAATCACTGGTGACAATATAACGTTTCACTTCGAACTGTTTCAGTGGAATGCGTTTGATACAGATTATGCTCCTCAAAAATATTAAGAGCATACTTCCGACATAATATAATTAATAGATAGGAAAACTGCATCTTCATGATTAAAGATAACTTAGAGCCGTGATGGCTCAGGGGATAGAGCGTTAGCCTTCCAATGGGGTGAACCAGGTTCGAATCCCAGCGATGACTGGTCGATACAAATCCACATCCAGCTTGCACCGACCACAGTGCTAACGTGAAATATCCTCAGTAGCAGACGGATGATGGGTTAGAGTCCCCTTGCAGTCAGGCTAGCCGTGGGTGGCTCTCGTGGTCTTCCTCTCCATATAACTCAAACGCAGGTTAGTTTCATCAAAAAGTCCTCCACGAAGGCAAATTTCTCCCGATACTTGATCAAGGAGTTCCTTTGTCTTCTGGATTGTGTTCAAAATTACAAGGTCAAAATTAAAGATAACTTACCTAGTGAGTTTTCTTCCGAGAGATCGCTTAGAGATGGCACCTTTTGAATAGATCTCTGAAGTTCATCACAGGATTCATCAAAGATTTCTTTCTTTATAGCGTCCAGAGGAATCATCACTTGTGAATGCTGTTCACCAGGGACACTCGAAAAATCCATCTTATCTCTCATCTGAAGCAAAACAAACAAGCACATTTTTGTTAATACTATATTTATTAAGTATAAACATTAAAACTTGTTAGAAATTGGATTAAAAAGAACAATCGAATCCTGAAAAAGAAAACATGATTTGAGTATTGGTATTGAAATTATAAAATTTTCATGATATGAATTTGATTGTATACCCAAAAACGCAGTGGCGCGACAGCCCATAGAGGGCCAAGGCCAACTGTGCCCGTCTCAGTTTTCTTGACCTTGGGCTCTGGGGTGCAGGAGCAGATGTTCCGGTCAGCCGAACGCGAAACCCCCAGTGTTTAGCTCCAAAGCATGCTTGGTACTCATTTATCGACGCACTGAAGGGATGAAAGGCTGAGTCAACCTTGCCCGACCCGAGGATCGAACCCAGGATCCGGGAGCACAGGAGTGCGAAGTGCTACAACTCAGCCACTGGGCGTTGGTATACAAGAGGTGTAAATATAAAGTTAGGTGACAAAATGCGTATCGCGAGCAAGAATAATATTACATTCTTCAATCTAATCTATACTATATACAAAATTGGTGTAACGTAATTAATATCTGTACTTTAAACCATAGAGCATGGAGTTAATTCTTAATAGAATTTTAAATTGAACCACGTTTTTTTTCCAAGTAAGAATATAGCATATTGTGATCACGTGTAAGAAGAATGATAAAATGGTTAAACATAGCACGATATAAAAATTGCAACAATTCTAAACGATTTAATTGCTCAAAAAACTATAAAGATTTTTACCCCTGCATAGGAAAGTCGCGTATCGTTTGTTGCGTTAGAATGTAAATGCTGTATGTCTTAAGCATACTACTGTTTGTTAGTTGCAGCAAAATAGTAAAACTTTGACTTGTGAACTTTGACTAACAATTTTATTTTATGTTTTATAAACGGTGACCATGAATATTCATATCCGTAGCCTTATAATTTTTAACTGAAACCAGAAGACAAGGGAACTCCTGGATCAAGTACTGAGACAGACTATCCTTCGTGGACTACCCATCGTATTATCTTGATGGAACTGAGCCGTATTTACTTGATATGGAGATTAAAAAAATCTCCAATAATTTGTTTGCATTTTGATTGTTTGAAAATATTTTTTTAACATTTGAAACTTCATGGTTTACTTTAGGTATGTCTGAATTCACTTCTCTCTTAACTTTAAATTTTAATGCACCGATCGTGATAAACAGAATTTCGATTAAAATTAAGTTTCTCCCGTCGAATTGCTCCTTTTTCAGACCCTATTTTGCACAGAGCAAGAGATGGCACCTTACTAACAGCAGTTGGAGTGTTTAATATATACATTCGCAAATCTTTATTTACTAATCATGCATATAGTTCTGCATTACGATAAAAGTTTTTATAAGTTTAATTTTTCTATTTTTGCACACCGTAATGAATAAAAGATGAAAACAATTATTTTATTTTGTATCTTTTATATCTTTAATTTTTTCAGGTGCTCAAATTGGAGAAATATTCCACAATATGCAAAAGGACTTCACCTACAACAGATTTAGGGAACCACTTGCTGCGTAAACTGTTAGAAATTTGGAGCCGAATCGAACTACAATACCATCCAAATTTGTTGTACCATCAATACGACACTAAGTTAAACCATATTATGAAGCAAAACGTTTCAGTACTTCGTACGATTGTGGATCAACGTTAAATCGTTTTTCTACCAACGTTTCGCCGTTCAAGGATCAACGTTTTTTTACCGTATTTGTTACCGCTTAAATTCAGAAATCAGTTATTCTACAGATTATCTCGGTAATGTGGATATTAAATAGGGTAATCCATTAAAGGGTCAAAAAATTGTTTCATTTTACAAATTACCCAGGTAATCTGCAGTCTACCTAGATAATCTGCAGATACTAGGCATTCATTAAAGAGAAAATAAGATCTTTGATGAAGCAACAGCAACCTTTCTGAACACTTAAATTAACATAACGTCGTTTATTTGTTTTTCACTGTTTAAACGATCAAGTTACCATAATGAAAGAATCAACACATTAGTTGATAGTGTCAATCAACGATTACTTCAAAAGCTAAAATACAAAGAATCAAACGGCTTAAAATAATATCAAAATTAAGGAACTTAACATGGTGTCATTTATTTATCTTTCAATATGTAAAGAATCAAGCCAATAAATATATTAGACTAATCTACAAATTAGTCCAAAAACGTGATTCTGCACTTTAACAGACTACTCTTGCAGGTTGATCTGCAGATTAGCTGTAGATAATCTGCAGATCAATTAGGGTAGCATATGCACTCTGGATTTTTAGTCGGCCATCAGAATCGATTTTTAACATGAAGTGTAATCTACACTCTAACTGATTGCACCACCAAAGCTCTCTAAAAAAAAAAAATTAAATTTTTCATCTAGTTCATTTCATTACTGGGCATTCGTTAGATTTTAAATACTTTGATTATCTGCCCTAAAAGTAACACAAAGACACAAAATAAAAAGATATAAAATGTTAAAAATGCAACAGCAACTATGTGCAAACTCAAAGAAGTTTTCAAAAATCAGTTAAAGCCATTTTCCAATTTCGTCTAGCCATATTATATATTTTTTTTATATTCTTTCTGGAAACATTTCTTTTCATTCCTTAAAAAAATGACTCAAATTTATGTTGGTCATTAAAAACCAGACCTCAAAATATACTTATATTTGAAATACAAATGCTTTTTAAAAATGATACCTTTATGACAAAACTTTATAGCAACTAATAAAAGTTTCACTTTAATTGAAGCGATAAAAACAAAGACTACTTTTTGTGTGTCTGCCTTTTAAATCAAAATATAGATAATAAAAATAAATATACTAATAAAAGCCACTGAAAAATAATTCTCAGTTAAAAAAGACCATGAAATTTGCAGGGTATGGTCCATAAAGAAGTGCGTAGTTAGACAGAACTCGCATCTGCATATTCAAGGTCAAGGCCAGAGAGCTGCGTATAAATAGGATTATCAGCATCTAGAATCAGTTTTCGGACCAGAACAATGGGGAAAATTAAGGTGACCCATGGAAAAATCCCAGTAACTTACTTGTCTCCCCTTTCTGAGAGAGGATTTTAAGTCTACAGGGAAAATTGCTGCAGATTCCTGGAATGTGTTTCGATTAATAGTTTAATTTACAAACTCAAACCGGTAATGCAAATAAGACTAAAATTATACGTGTGCTGTTTTGTTTGGGTGCATTGTTTCTCTTTGTATTTTAAAACAAGACCTTTGTGGCGACAATTTAAAAGAACCGCAAGTCGCTAATTGAATATTTATGAAAGCTTCAGCATTATTAGAATTATATGATATCACAAAGTTGTATTTGTAGTCTTGTCAAAGACCCGTTAAAGTTATCTGATAAAGTTAGTCATATAAATATAATTGTATTTTTATGATGTGTAAATAAATTGTTTGTTTCTTCCGCCTAAGATAATAACAATCATTTTTTATATTTTATTCTGCATGATATTTCACTCATTTCAGACAGAATCGTTTGCTTTCTGTGTCTTGAATACATACGATAATTTAAATTTGGCACAGTATAGCAGATTCTGGCTCTTTTATTATCGAACAAAACATTAAATCCAATCCTAGTTTAGTCCTAGTTAATGGGGTTATAATTGAAATAAAATGAACTGAATAAAAACGAAAGCTTACAGCATTTATAATAATGAAATCATTTATAAGTAAAGAATTCCAGGCATGTAATGGGAGGCAAAACATACACAATGGCGAGAACAGCGACATTACACGGGAATTGTGACCAGCATTACGCATCGGTTGTTCTTAATTCTTAGATTATTTGACTCCATCAATCTGAAGATGATTGGGTCATCCGCCACCGGCGATAGAACCTCGAATTTTCGCAATGATACCATTAACGAGGCTTGAAATAATCATTTACAAATTGAAAATCACAAGGTAATACAATGTTAACATTTATAAATATGTTCAAAGTTTATAGTTATTTGAAGGGCTGTTATAATTCCTTAATAATCTGTCATTTTATATTAGTTATATTTAATTGATTCATGTTGATTTTAACTAATAGAATTCATGGCCTATATCTCGCCTCAGGATTCATCTTTTTATTTTTCTATTAGTTAATTTATTTATAACCAGCTATAAACATCCGGTGCATCAAATATCTTCTTTTTCGTGAAGATAGATCCCAAGACCTCCTCTGGAGATTTTAGCTTGCTTGTTTATTAATTTTTTCAAGTTTTTTCTTCGTCAGTCTTAGTTTACCACACCTTAAAAAAGCTCTTCAAAAATCTGACATATCGACAGATCTCTACATTGTTCTTAATTTTTTTCTTCTGCTATGGCCTTTTCCCATTCTAAAGCTCTTTTACCTTTTTTTAGTATAACTCTAACTCTAAATGAAGTTTTTAATCAATTAAGAACATGTAATCCATGTACTGCATGTATCATCATTAACAATTACGAACGTATAAATCCTTCTTCTCGGAACCTTTGTGACTCTTCTAAAGAAATTAGAACTCCGCGGAACAGCTTTTGCACTAGATAATATCACACTACACCGAAATCTATTATTGCCTTCATAGAAATCGTCATGTTTTCAACAAAAAAATGTCTTCTGAACGATTTTAGAACGTGGCTCGACATTTTATTGTTCTAAGACTTTATTAATCCATTTTCCCCTTAAGTTTTAATGACATTATTTATTGATAAATTTAGTTTATATTTTGACGCACGAATCATGCCAGACGACAGAGAGTAAATCACAAAAACTCGAACAAACGCGCATGTTCCCTCCATTGTTTCTTTAACTGATTTTTACGCCGACAAAAGAACACATGAATAATAGTGCGTTGATCATTGAAATNGCCGTCATTGAGATTCTAACACATGAGTCACTTCATTTAAATGATAGCTCTCAAAGGATAGCAGCGTCACCACTGCTAAAACTACATCATTTTTTTGTCATTTTTCGTCGTTTTTGATTTC